TCTGCCGTTTTATGTTACTTGGTCGAGAACTGCGCTGTTGACGCGTCGTTGCATCCTTCTCTGTTATTGAATCGCTTCGCTCATTCCGCCGGCCCGTGATATGGCATCGCTGGTTTTTACCTAACAGCGTAGACTGATAGGTTTCTAGTTGACCCAAAAGAGCTCACAGATCACTCCACAGGGGGGTCCGGGCAGGCGTTGGGAGTTGCCGGCCGGGCCTGTGCCGGGCTCGTTTTTCACCAACAGTCACACACTTCGTGCTCGTCGACCTCTCAGAACGCCATTCCCAGGCCACATTCTGAATAACCGGATGCAACAGTCACACACTTCGTGCTCTTCGAGTTCCCAGAACTCCATTCCCGGCCACATTTTGAATGCCCGGAGCCAACTGTAGGCCATTTCGTGCTCTTCGAGTGCCCAGAACTCCATTCCTGGGCCACATTTTCAATGCCCGGAGCCAACTGTAGGCCACTTCGTGTTCTTCGAGTTCCCAGAACTCCATTCCCGGGCCACATTTTGAATGCCCGGAGCCAATTGTAGGCCACTTCGTGCTCTTCGATTTCCCGGAACTCCATTCCCGGGCCACATTTTGAATGCCCGGAGCCAACAGTAGGCCACTTCGTGCTCTTCGAGTGCCCAGAACTCCATTCCTGGGCCACATTTTGAATGCCCGGAGCCAACTGTAGGCCACTTCGTGCTCTTCGAGTTCCCAGAACTCCATTCCCGGGCCGCATTTTGATGCTGATGCAGAGGCTGAGAATGGTGATGCTGATGCTGAGGCTGAGGCTGAGGCAGGCAGGCTGAGGCTGATGAGGCTGAGGCAGGCTGAGGCTGAGGCCGAGGCTGAAGGCAGGCTGAGGCTGAGGCTGAGGCTGAGGCTGAGGCTGAGGCAGGCTGAGGCTGAGGCTGAGGCTGAGGCTGAGGCTGAGGCTGAGGCTGAGGCAGGCTGAGGCTGAGGCTGAGGCTGAAGGCACTGAGGCTGAGGCTGAAGCAGGCTGAGGCTGAGGCTGAGGCAGGCTGAGGCTGAGGCTGAGGCAGGCTGAGGCTGAGGCTGAGGCTGGCTGAGGCTGAGGCTGAAGGCTGAGGCTGAGGCTGAGGCTGAGGCTGAGGCAGGCTGAGGCTGAGGCTGAGGCAGGCTGATACTGAGGCAGGCTGAGGCTGTGACTGCGACTGCCGCTGCCACTGCGACTGTCATCGCGAATGCGACTGCGACTGCGAGAACAGCAGAACTCTACAACTGGATTCTCATCTGAATCTTAAGGGGAATGCTTCCATATATGCTTCTACACATCGCTGTTAGGTTGCTTTGCCGGGATAATTGTCTGTGTGTTCGTTGCCCATGTTGCGCTCTTGGGGGCGGGTGTCGTTCGGACGCGTTGCGTGGGGAGTTTTGATGGTGAAGCAGTTCCCTGGGGGTCGTCTCTCGATGGGGCGAAATAGAGTCGTCGTCAAGATGCTTCTTTGGGGGGCCTCTTGGGGTCTGTTGAGAGGCCGTTCGGGGGCGCCTGGGAGACATGTTTGAAGCCTTCTGGGGCTTCTTTTGGGCCTCCTGGGAGTCTCCTGGGGCCTCTTGGCGACATCTTGGGGCCTCTTGGAGGCCTCTTGGGGCCTCTTTGGGACCTCCTGGGCGCCTTCTGGGACGGAGGGCTCCATTTTTACCTAACAGCGAAGACTGATAGGTTTCTAGTTGACTCAAAAGAGCTCACAGATCACTCCACAGGGGGGTCCGGGCAGGTGTTGGGGAGTTGCCGGGCGGCAGGGTGCCGGGCTCGTTTTTCACCAACAGTCACACACTTCGTGCTCTTCGACTTCCCAGAACTCCATTCCCAGGCCACATTCTGAATACCCGGATGCAACAGTCACACACTTCGTGCTCTTCGAGATCCCAGAACGCCATTCCCGGGCCACATTTAGAATAACCGGATGCAACAGTCACACACTTCGTGCTCTTCGACATCCCAGAACGCCATTCCCGGGCTACATTTTGGATGCCCGGATGCAACAGTCACACACTTCGTGCTCTTCGAGTTCCCAGAACTCCATTCCCGGGCCACATTTTGAATGCCCGGAGCCAACTGTAGGCCACTTCGTGCTCTTCGAGTTCCCAGAACTCCATTCCCGGGCCACATTTTGAATGCCCGGAGCCAACTGTAGGCCACTTCGTGCTCTTCGAGTTCCCAGAACTCCATTCCCGGGCCACATTTTGAATGCCCGTAGCCAACTGTAGGCAACTTCGTGCTCTTCGACTTCCCAGAACTCCCATTCCTGGGCCACATTTTCAGCAGGGGCAAGAGCACGACGAGGAGGAGGACGAGCAAGACCAGGAGGACGAGGACGAGCAGGAGCAGGACGAGGAGCAGGAGGAGCAGGAGAAGAAGGACGAGCAGGAGGAGGAGGAGGACGAGCAGGAGGAGGAGGACGACCAGGAGGAGGAGGACGACCAGGAAGAGGAGGAGGAGGAGGAGGGGAGGGGGAGGAGTACCAGGAGGAGGAGGAGGAGGAGGAGGAGGAGGAGGAAGAGGAGGAGGAGGAGGAGGAGGACGAGGACGAGGAGGAGGAGGAGGAGGGGGGGGGAGAGTACCAGGAGGAGGAGAACGAGGACCACCAGGAGGAGGAGGAGGAGGAGGAGGAGGAGGAGGAGGAGGAGAGAACACCAGGAGGAGGAGGACGAGCAAGACGAGGAGGACGAGAACGAGGACGACCAGGAAGAGGAGGAGGAGGAGGAGGAGGGGAGGGGGAGGACTACCAGGAGGAGGAGGAGGAGGAGGAGGAGGAGGAGGAGGAGGAGGAGGAGGACGAGGAGGAGGAGGAGGAGGAGGACGAGGAGGAGGAGGGGGGGGGAGAGCACCAGGAGGAGGAGAACGAGGACCACCAGGAGGAGGAGGAGGAGGAGGAGGAGGAGGAGGAGGAGGAGGAGGAGGAGGAGAGAGCACCAGGAGGAGGAGGACGAGCAAGACGAGGAGGACGAGAACGAGGACGAGCAGGAGGAAGAGGAGGAGGAGGAGGAGGAGGAGGAGCAGGAGAAAGAGGAGGAGGAGGCAGGCTGAGGCTGAGGCTGTGACTGCGACTGCCGTTGCCGCTGCGACTGTCATCGCGAATGCGACTACGACTGCGAGAACAGCAGAATTCGACAACTGGATTTTCATCTGAATCTTAAGGGGAATGCTTTCAGATATGCTTCTACACATCGCTGTTAGGTTGCTTTGCCGGGATAATTGAGTTCTCGGTATCCCTCCTGAGTCCCTCTTGGGCCCGTCTTGGGGCCTCTTGGTCCGTCTTGGGCGGCACTTGGGCCGTCTTGAGGGCTCTCTTGGGTCGTTTCGGCGCCGTCTTGGGAGCTTCGTGGGCCGTCTTGGAGCGGTCTTGGGGGCCTCTTGGGCCGTCTTGGAGCGTCCGGAAGCCGAAAAAGCCAGAACACAAAAAACACAAAAAACCAATGAAAATCAACGATTTTGGCCTCTTGGGGCTCTCTTCGGAGGCCTCTTGGAAGGCTCTTGGGGCGTCTTGGAGGCCTCTTGGGCTGTCTTGGGGGCCTTTTGGGCCGTCTTGGGGTCATCTTCGGCGTCTTCGAGCGCTCTTTGGGCGTCTCGGGGGCCTCTTGGGCAGTCTTGGGGGCCTCTTGGGGCACTCTGAGCGCGCTCTGGGGAGCCTGAGAGGCCGCACCCAGAAGGAAAACCATCTCTGAGTAGACTTGGTCGGGCGGCGACCGGGCGTTGGTCGGGGTACTTTTCGCCGGGGGACCCCCAGGGGCCGCCCCGCGCGCGCGAACTAGAAATACTGTTAATACTGTTAACCAGTTACCGGAGATCTTAGCACGCCCTGGCCCGTTGGGCCGGCGAATTTCCGACCGGTTCGGGATTGGTCGGTCTCGGCTTCGTTGTCGGTTCGGGCGGTTTTCGATTGTGGTGCCACCATTAATGGCGTGGCAGACATGGGGCCGGAGGCAGGGACTACCAGAGAGACAGAGTGTAGGAGTGGAAGGACAGGGATGATGATAATGACCGCCGTGTAATCTGAACACACCCATCCCGTCACATGCGCACTTGTAAGAAGTCGAAACTTGCAATTGTGTGGTTTCCTTTTGGAAGGCCCCCCCCGTGGAGAACGCGAGACCCGTGGACCTGTCGTTCAAATAACGGTGCACGGTTCAACGACTGCCTCATTTTGACGGGGAGTCGTTTTCCACCTATTGACTTACATTGGGGACGCGCATCAAGGAACCAGATGGGCGACGCAAACAACAGGGTCGTATTCACCGACATTTGCGCGTAAGCGCCCTCGGTTACAATGTAGCGTGCCAGGCTGGCGGCCCGCGTAAGCCACCGCGTCAGGTCACTATGTCATCGTGCGTAAGATACATTAGTTTTCGTCGCTCATATGCTTTTCGTCAGAGTACCCTAGGTTCCTTCGCTTCGAGTGCTGCGCGATGACTTCCTTCGGCCGTTGAAGAAGTTGTTGCGCTCGGGGTGCTCTGGGTTCTCACCCGTGTGCATCTCGCGCGCGGATGTTCAGGGCTGTGTTTCTTGCGAGGGTTTCTTGCGGCCGCGTCCGCACTGTAATTGATGGAAGCTTGTGAGACGCATGTGCGCGGCTGCCTTTCGAAAACGGGACGCCCTCTGTTGTTGCAATCGGCGGGAAGGTCTCGGACAAATGCGCCTGGAACTACGACGAGAAAACCGAAATTCGAAATTGACCTTACCCTACACACTGGTAGCTAGTGTGAGAGAGTATCTTTACGCCTTGACATCTATCCACCATCCATCCTTTTGCACACTCGAACATCTTAAGACGAACATGCGCGGTGCTTCAGCAGGAGCCAATTGTTGAGAGCCACACGTTCTCCATCCACGTCACTGTTGGGGGTTTCAATCCTCGGGGCCATATGTGGTAAGGACGCCCTGCCGACGCGTGTGGCGGTGCGACATGGAGGAGTTGCGCATGAGGAGGAGGGCGAGCGAGCCAGCGGTCGCCGTCAGGTCCATCTCATATCTCGCGATTGAGCTGAGGTGCGCTGTGTACGTCAGCGATGCAGAGTCATCACTGGGCTGCACAACGAGTTGAAAGCCGAATTGCTTCTGGACCGGCGAGAGACTGATCCTGCCAGGAACGTGCCTACAAGCTTGGCCTCTGCAGCGACGGGACGGCATCCTCACTTGGCGTCATCGCGGCTCCAGGCTCCAGGGGCGCGTCCCCGCGAAGGGCGGAGGAGAAAGATGAGGAGGAAGGAGGTCCGCCCGACAGACGCCGCGATCATCGGATCTAGCTCCGCGCAGCGTCAAAAAGCTCCGCCCGTCCCCTGGCGGCGCGCCTCCCGGTGGCGCTGCCAGGATGTGCCGTGCACTGCCCCCTGCAGCCAGCAGCCCGGCCCCGCACTGGGCTGCGGGGCACAGTGGGGCAGCGGCGGCCTCGGGTCGCGCGGCTCCCGCCCTCTCGATCGAGAGGCCTGAGGGAGCACTCCTCGGCATCGCTCGAGCGCGTGCGCAGTTTCTCGGTGCAGCCAGCCCCCGAAGGACTTGGAGAAAAAGCAACACGCACGAGACCAAACATTGCACGAGGAATGAACGTCCGAGCGATGGTAAGGAGGATGAGGAGGACGAGCTCTCCCTCAGCTCTACCCACGCCTCCACCTCCCGCGCTCGCCTCCTCCCTCCCTCTGCCGCGCCCCCCGCCCGTCGGGCCGCGCCGGCGAGCAATACTTACTTGCCCCTCCGCCCTCTCCCGCCCCCCCCCTCCCCCTTCCGCACCCTCACCCCATCGGAGGTTGATAGACCTCCTACCCTGCCACGCCGATTAGCGAATTGGCCGTTTTCTGTTCGCGAGAGGGCGTCGCGGCCGTCATTTTTGCGTGTCCAGGTCCGTCGGTTTCAGTCACAGGCCGTTTTCACTAAAGGGAGGTTTGTCAACCGCCGACCCCACCTCGCGCCTCCGAGGCGCGCCGCCCCCCTCGCCAAAGGCGCAGCTGGAGGAGGCGCTGAAGCAAGCGCAGGTGGACCGCGCGGACGCCAAGGAGGCCGTCGCGGAGGCGCCCCGCCTCCGAATAGGGCCTCGGTCTCGCTCTCGCCGAGGCGCCTCTGCGCGCGTTGTGCCTGGCCGGGAGGCCATGCCCGAGGAGGCCCTGCGGCGCGGTGCGGTCGCCCTTTTCCTCCTCCTCCTCCTCCTCCTCCTCCTCCTCCTCCTCCTCCTCCTCCGCCTCCGCCTCCGCCTCCGCCTCCTCCTCCTCCTCCTCCTCCTCCTCCTCCTCCTCCTCCTCCTCCTCCTCCCCTCGCACCGGCGCGCGCACGCGCGACCCAGTGCGACGGGAGCGCCTTTCCCCGGAAGGCCGCCGCCAGGCCAGCCGCTGGCCCCGCGGGATGCGCCGCGTGCAGGGTCGGCGCCGCGGGCGCTGCCTCCGAGCACGGCCAGGTCGACGGGGCCCGCGGTTTCGTTCGGAGGACGACGGCCCGGATCTCCAGCGACATGATGTTTCAATCCAGGCGGCTTGCCCTTCTTCGCAGTCGGGGCGGGCTCCTTTTCCTCTGCTTCACGGTGTCGAGCCTCTCGTGATGCGCACGCAGTCGCTCAGCAAGGCGTTCCTCGCACTGCCGCGGAGAGATACCAATCGTGCACTCTTCTGCCCACGCGTCCTTCGGATGCTCGTCTCAGCCCTGCCATTCCATGCGTTGTTCCTGGAGTCTGGCCTCCAGGGCCCGCCATCGGGCCCCGGGGCCATCAACATTGGATCCGCGGCGAAAATTTGGCCCGGGGCGAAGGGGTCTGGACCTTAAACACATCAGACCGGCAGATGTCAGGGTCTGATCGGAGGGCGGCGACCCAGACCCCAAAAATCTTCGGGAGTGTTCGCCCGGTCTAGAAGGTTTTCCTCGCCTCGGGAGGGCTGCCAGCGGGTGCGCGCCTCGTCGAGAGAGCGTTCCTAGGGCTCCCCGAGCTTCGGCACGGCCGCGAAAAGCCCGAGCTTGCGGCCCGAAAAATGGCCATGTGGCTTGTGGTTGGTTGCGTTCGGTCGCTTCCGTCGGCTGCTGTGTCTGATGGGCTTGTTTTCCATCACCACCACCATAAGCTGGATGGGGAGGGGGTCCTCCTCCTCCTCCTCCTCGTCCTCCTCCTCCTCCTCCTCGTCCTCCACCTCCCTCCCCCCTCCAACTCATGGTGGTGGTGGTGGAAAACAGGCCCATCAGTGTCGTTGCCGCGCCGCCGCGCCCTTGCAGGCCGCCCTCGGTCCCGGTCGGGTTTTTTGGCTTCGCCGTCGGCCCGGTCGGTCGGCGTCGGCAGTCAAACTCCGAAGGCCCGGGCCGCCGCCGTCCACGCGATCGGGCACGGCGGCCGAGCTTTTTTTTGCTGGTTTTGCGCGGGGTCTCCGGGGGGAGGCCCGTGGCCGAGGCGCTCGGGCGCGGCCTCCCAAGAGGCGAGGTCCTGAGATCGGGCGGTCGCAAGCATGGGCCACGGGGGCACGGATTAGCGACGGGTCCCGTTTCCATGGGGAATCGCGGATTTCCGATGCCGAACCAGGCGGCATCGGCCGCATTTGGGGGAGGGCTCCTTCCCCGATCCAGGTGTGCACCTCCGACGAGACCCAGAGCTCGTATTCAAAGAGCCCGTATCCAAAGAGCCCAGGACTCCAGTGCCTCGGGCACCAACCACCGAAACAACACGGCGGCCTTGGGAGACATCGGGCCCCCCCGCGGGGCACAGAAGACGGCCCACGGCGCGACTTACTCGTGCGGGCGCTGGGGCCGAGAGATGTGGAGCCCACCATGCAATCATCCCTCCAGGGGGGGATACGCGCAGGGGGGAACGCGTCGACCACCAATTGCTGATTGATCGTCGATAGGGGCCTGATAGCCCACCCCACCCAGCGGTTCTGCTGTCGGGGGCCCATTGCCGATCTATCGGCGACGCATCGCCGATTCGGGCTCGACGCTTCCCACCCTGAGCCGGTCCTCCATCTCGTTGTCCCTCAAAGGTCCATGTTGGTTTTGGTGGGTTCTCGATGTTTCTGGGTTCCCTTCCTGGCACTCATCGCGCACCCGAGCGCACCAGGGGGCTCCAGAGGGCTTGGCTGTTATCCGACGTTCCTTGTTTGGCACAGGTGCAATGGATTGCACAGGGGGAAATAATCAAGGAGTGGCGAAGCGTCCTGGTTCGCCTATTGGCCTACCAAATAATGTTATGATAATATGTTGAGCTCTGCACGAGATGTTTTTCTAACATTTCTAGCTGGGACTGTCTTGCTTTAACGCATCGGGTTTATGTTCCAAGAACATTGCTTTTGTTATTAGAACACCTTGGGCTCTAAGAACATGTCGTGGTAGGCCTATAGGAATGCCGGGACGGTCGGTCGTTGCGGATAGCATCTGAGATGGATACCGTGCGGCCCCCTAACCTGAGGGTTGGAAATGTCCACATCCAGCTCTCTGCGAGATTATCCCGGGTACCTCTCTGGCTGGTGGATGCTACAGATCGATCCCCAGCCTGTATCTCTTTTTCCCTTCTGGCCTTCTTCCCTCGGACAATGGAAGAAAACACAGGATCGTGACATGTGTGTTCTTCCTTTCCCCCTCACCGCCCATCCTTGCACCCCTTCCCCTGGGGTCGAATCTCGCTTATTATCTTTGTGCGCTTGGTGCGCCCCTTCCTCCTAGACCTCCTTGTTGTGGTTCGGGTACATCGGGTCGGAGGATCGCCCCGCATCGCCGACGCATCCAGGATGCGGATCGATGAGGAGCCCAAGTTTTCCCACTCCGATTTCGCCGATGCATCGCCGGCGTCGCCGATGCATGGCAGATTCGCTGGCGATGCGGCGCGATCTTCCGACCACATTTACTCCGACCTTATTTGGGAGGTATTTATTTGTTCTGGCCCTTCTCTTCCCCTCCTCTCTCGTCAGACTCGGCGGCGAGCGATGGGGGAGAAGCGAGAAGGGGGAGGCCTTCTCAGAAGGCGGCGGGACTTCTCAGAAGCCCCTCGCCTTGAGAGAGGCTTCCCGTGTCGTCCTCAGAAGGCTTAGCAAACTCCTCAGAGGGCCGGGGGACTTTCGAGCCTTCTGAGAAGGCCCGCCTTCTCTCGCTTCCCCCCCCCTCGTTCGCGGCCGTGCGATGGTATGCCGGGGTGGCGCTCGTCCAGGTCGCCCGCGGCGGCGCGGAGCGCGGCGCTGAGGGCGCGCGGCGCGTCGCGGCCTGGGGCTGGAGAGCTGGAGAGCTGCTTCCTCTCCAGGAGGCGTCGCGGCGGCGCGAAGGTGTCCGCGCGCGGTGCTTCGGTAGTCATCGGATGGACGCCAACAATTACCCTACCAGCAATGGCCAGGTACATCCTGGGCCCTGGGCTGGTGTCCAGGCCTAGGCTTAAGTCGGGCCTGTCCCTCTACAGGGGGGATATTCAAAAATAGTTCAAAAATAGTCTGGGGATGTTCTTTTGATTATTTGAAAAAATGTTCGGAATATGTCTTGAGTATCTTTGAATGTTTCGCCCAGAACCCCCCTTTAGGGGGACAGGCCCGACCTAAGCCCAGGCCAGGAGGGCCTGTACACCAGTCCAAGGCCCAGGCATGGGCCTGGCCGGGGCTGGCGGTGGTGTACTGCTTGGAGTTTTGCTGAGCATTTCACGGGAGCCTTGTGCGTTCTCGTTGTATTCCGTTTTTGGAGGGCGCTCGCGTGCGTTACCGTTTGGTGGTCGATGCACGCGCCGATTCGGCGTCGGCGAGCGTCGATTCGGCGTCAGTTCGCAAGAGTCAGGAATCAGAGGAGGAAAAGGTACCCATACCTCTACCCATCGGCCGTTTTCCCCTTTTTGGGCCTCCTCGGAGGATCTCGTCGCAACCGCTGGATTCACCTCGAGATTCTGGTCAGAACGCACCCCAGGAGAGCTCCGGGGAGTAGCGGTATCGGTATCTTTTATTTTCTCCAAGGAAGGTGGCATGGCAGGTTCCCATGAGTTGCCACAGGACAGTGCGACGTTCGCCGAGCTGGGCCCATCTGCCTGGCCATCCGTCAGCGGGTGGGCCGACGGGCTTCACACATCTCAGAGTGCTGGTCTGTTGGGTGGCGACGTGCTCGATGGCTTGGGCGCTGCAGGGCGTCTGCCGCCGCGCCCGGATCGCCCTCGACCCCCGCAGCCATCGCCCCTCGGACGAGACAGTTTGGCAGACGTGTAGAGCATAAGGAAACGTTTTCGTCGGTTCTCGTCGGTTTCCCAGCCTCTGGGTGCCTTCCAGCGGCTGCGCCTCGCCGTAAGCGTTCCGGGTGGGGGGCCTGGATCGTCCCGACGGCCCGAAGGGCCGCCGGAGGCCCGATGAATGCAGGGGGTGACGTCAGTTGAGGGGCGATAGGCTCCCGGGGGGCAGTGTAGCATCGGCAGTGGCAGTGTGCACGGCCGCAACATCTTGTCTGCGCATGTATTCCCTTGTGCCGTTAGAGTTGTATTCTGCTAGTTCTCGAATGTGGTTTTGGTTATCCATATGATGGAGATTGCCAGTTAAAATCAGCTGTTGACGAATACTTTGAGCTGCAGCCAATCGAACTACAACGTCGACGCCTGTCGATCCCAAAGTACGCGCCCCCCAGGCTACTGCGATCAGGGAGAAGGAGGCGGCGACCTTTGCGGCATTCAAGGCCGGACGATTCCCGAGTGCATCTCTCCGCAATGTGTTGGCTTGTGTTACGAGGGCTCGCATGTCCTGAAAGCATGGAGGGTGCTCGATGTGTAAAGGATGCAATGTGCCACCCAGGGGCTTGCTGAGGGAATTGAACGTCACAGATGTACTTGATCCGGCCTCGTTTGACAGGACTGTCTTGCATGGTCTTGCAATCGGGAAGAGGCTTGCCCACATGATTAGCTGCGTCCCACACGGGCTGCCGCATGTTGCCAGAATTCCGAGCTACCGACCGCGCAATGTGAGAAGGGAACTCGGTATCATGAAGGAGATCTTCGGGCCACGGGAGCCTCCAGATGGGGAGCAACCAGGGCTCGACCTCAACGGTGTTTGGGTGAGGCGTTTCGATTCCGTTTTGCGGCAGAGGTGGAACGTAGACGATATGAGGGACAGGGTGGCCAAGACGAAGATTGAAAACATTGCTTAGGTTAAGCCCTGGGGGGGACCTAAGACCACAGGCGCACAGGGAGGTTGAGAGCGAGAGGAGAGAAGGCAGAGAAGCAGAGGAGGGCAAGTTGAGACATCGACAGGTGGCCTTCGGGGGGGCCCCTCTTCGCCACGGCTGGACTCGGCTCGTGACATTGGTGCAGTTGGACCCAGGGAGGGGTTTGGGGGACCGGTTTTGAGCTACAGTTGTCTCAGCTCGTCCTGCCCCGAGACAAGTGCATGGAATCGAGCGCAGGGCGTCGGATGCGTGCAGAGTGGTTCGCCTGAGTTTCTCTTCGCCGCACGGAAGACAGGCATTCGTGAGTCCGACGGCTCTCCTCGTCCCTTCCCTCTCCGCCAGCCGAGGAAAGCCCAAGGCGCCCGCTGCCCTCGATTCGCATCGGCTTCCTGCCGCGTCTTTTCGAAGCTCGTCGTCGCCACCCTACAACCCTGGAAGCCATCTGTCAGAGAAGGGCAGATCACCGATACCGCTACTCTTCCCTCGATTTCTCTTCTTGGGGGCCTCTTGGGAGGCCCTCGTCCCCACGGCTGGATTCGCCTCGAAATTCTGGCCCGGGGAGTAGCGGTATCGGTACCTTGTGGATCCTCCAAATTCGTGGGAACCCTCCGGCTCGATCCTCCCTCTGTCCAGGGGGTGCTAAAGGTGCCCCTGGCCCAAGCTGCGCCCAGCCTCTCGCTCAGTCCTGCAGCCCCCGCGGGGGCCCTGCGGGCCCCGCGAGGGGCTCCCTGGAGGCCGTGGAAGGGCCTCGGAGATCCTGGCGCCGGCAAGGAGAACACGGGTACGTGGACCCCCCCCTGGTGTCAGCAGGTGGCCGATAGCTTTCGGCAGTGCCTCCGACTGTGAGGATGTGGCTTGCCGTCTCCAGTATTTCGTTGATGGCCGCCTCATCCTTAACAGATGGGTTTGGGTACCCTTTCAGCCTATAGCGTGCTTGGTAATCCTCGGAGATCCTGGGGGCACCCTGGGCCGGGGGCACTTCGAGCAGCATCCGGCCTGTCCTACCACCCCCTCCTGCAGGGCGCACCTAGTGCGACTCGGAGAGGGCGGGCGCCGCCCGCCCGCCACGCCTGGGGACTTTCGTGAGGGGGGGGTTCCCTGGTGGCCGTGGGAGCCTCCTCGGAAAGCCTGGGGGCACCCTGGGCCAGGGGCACTGCTGGCAGCAGCAGCAGCAGCCAGCCTGTCCTCCCCCCCCTCACGGGAGGAAAAATACCCGGCCCAGATAAGTGGCGTTTGCAAGCAAGACGGCCCTGGGCGTTTATTCCACAGCCCTGCCCTGTTCGATGCCTTCTTGGGGTGCGTTTACTGAGCGGCCGCGCTTGTCGGGGTTGTTCTTATGGGGGGATTGTTTGCCCTTAGGAGGACATGTCCGACCTATTCCTATCACTCTTCCTCGTCGCTCAGATGCTCTCCCAAGGTCCCCGGCCCCAGACCAGGCACGCCTGTTGTGCAGCAGGCGGCTGCAAGTCAAGAGCGGACAGCCAGGCTCGTCCCTCGGCGAAGCGCAGCCCAGTCGCCTCCAATCCTCCTGCTCCCTGTCTCGGGGGTGTCTAAGAGCGGGGTGAAAACTGAGGGAGTGTGTGTGGGTATCATGGCCGTGGCCGTGATATCTCCGATCATAACTCCCGTATGCCGTGCCCCCCCCTAGTTGTGATGCTTCTTGTTTCCAGTCTGTCCAGTATTCCAGAACAGTCCCCGGCCTCCAGTCGCCCGCGCACCCACTTCGGGCCATGATGCGCACCCCTCTCGTTCTGCCCCCTCCCTTCGGCGCAACCCGCCCGCTCTCATCCATGCCGGCGAAGACGCTGCACAAAGCAAACGGTTCGAAGGCCCGCGTGTGGAATTTCGAGGGCTTGTGCTCGTGCGCCTGCTGTTCTTCTGGCCTCGTGGCCCACTCCCCGGGCGTCTCGCCCAGGCCGAGTCCGACGCCAACATCGATGCCATCAACAAGGCCGGCCCGCGCCCACTGGCGGTTGGGTCAGCCAGCAGGTCGCGGGGCTCCGCCAGAGCGCTGGTCAGAGGAGTACCCTTCGCCCGTTTCCCTCTTTTGGGGCTTCCTGGGATCCCCTCGTCGCCACCGCTGGATCTGCCTCGAAATCCTGGTCAGAACGCTCCCCGGGAGAGGTCTGCGGAGTAGCGGTATCGGTACTTTCTGGTTTTCCCAGCTGGATCCAGCAGGATGTTGCGAAGCAGGATGTGGGCCGAGCCAGGTCTGGGAGGCGCTCGCGGCCCTGGAGGTGGGTTGAGCTGGGTGTTTGGGAAGCCCCCCCGAGCACTGCAAGCTGCAGCGCATCATCTCTCTCAACTCCTCGAAGGCGCCCCCCTCTGGGATAGGAAGCGGGGCGGGTTCAGGGGTGAAGACGCAGCGCTGCCCACACGTTTGGACCATGTCTAATGGAAAGGGGGGTGAGGATGGTTATGGTGATGTTGATGATGGTGATAATGATAATGATGCTGATGATGCTGATGATGCTGGTGATGATGATGATGAAGATGATGATGATGATGATGATGATGATGATGATGATGATGATGATGATGATGATGATGATGATGATGATGTTGATGTTGATGATGATGGTTATACTGGCGGTGATGGTGATGGTGATGGTAATGGTGATGATGATGATGCTGATGATGATGATTCAGCATGATGATGGCGATGATGGTGATAGTGAAGATGTTGATGTTGTTTAAACTGTTTATGTTGATTGTGATGCTAATCATTCTGATGATGATGCTGATGGTGGCGATGCTGATGATGATGATGATGCTGATGGTTATGTCGATGATGGTGATGATGAGAGTGCTGAGGATGATTCTGATTATAAAGAGGATATTGATTGTGATGATGGTGATGGTGACGATCACGATGATGCTGATGATGATTGTGATGGTGATATGTGATGGTAATGAAACTGGTGATTCTTCATGATGATGACGATGAGTGTGATGGTGAGGATGTTGATGATGATTATGATGATACCGATGCTGATGCTGATGCTGATGATGACGATGGGGTACTGCTGATGGTAATGTTGAAGATGGTGATGATTAGAGTGCTGATGATGATTATGATTATGATGCTGATGGTGATGATGCTGATCATGATGGTGATGATGCTGATGATGATGGTTATGATGATGCTGCTGATGATGATGATGATGATGATGATGATGATGATGATGATGATGATGATGATGGTGACGATCACGATGACGATTCTAATTATGATGAGCTGAATGACGATGATCATCATGATATTATGATGCTGATTACGATGATGCTGATGGTGCTGATGATGATGATGACGACGGTGGTGGTGGTGGTTCTGGGTGGCTCCGGTGGTGATGATTATGATGATGATGATGATGATGCTGGTCATGCTGATGGTGATGGTGGTGTCGGTGATTTTGATGGTGCTGGTGAAGATGATGGTGAAGATGATGGTGATGGTGATGGGGATTGTGATGGGGATGCTGATGATTTGGAGGAGGAGGAGGATGAGGAGAGGAGGACCAGTGACCGAGGGGGTTTCAAAGAGACCGACAAGGAGAGGACGGAGCCCGGACCGCTCTGCAGATTCCGCGGGCCCAGCGAGGATGGGCGCTCGCGCCCGACGCCTGCCGCCAAGCCCTAAGGGGCGACGCGCCGAGGCCGTGGCCGGGTGGAGAGCGCGCCAGGGGGTTGCCGCGCGGCGAGGCGAGCCGAGGGGGCGCTGCTCCCGAGCGGCGCACGGAGGCGAAGAAGCAACACGACCGATGGTGCTGACGCAGTCAAACAGCACAGTGTTCGGAGGTTGATGGACCTCCTACCCTGACGTCGATCAAGGAATTGGCCGTCTTCGGTTCGCGGGAGGGCTTCGCGGCCGTCGCTTTGCGGGTCCAGGTCCGTCGGTTTCAGTCCTGGG